ATGACTATTCATATGCGTCCCCAGACCCCCTTTTGCAGTTCTTTTTATTCTCCTGATTCCTCACATTTCTGGGGCCAAATCCTTGCCCATTCCCATCATGCTTTGATGGCCCACTTTTTTTATTGCTGCAGATTGCTCTAAACTGCTCTTCCAGTTCACAGCGTGCTCCATTCCTCATTCGAACCGCTCGACACCGTGCTTTTGCGATGACACAGAAAGGTTATCCCACTTCAGTCGGAAATATAATTTGTAAAACGCTGATGACATCTTTGTTAATTTCCCCTCAAGCATCCTGGTTTTGATGATTGATGATTTGATATCGTCTGAGTGACACATTTCATGGACCATATCTCCTCCTTTCTGCTCGGGGCCGTGTTTACGTTAATAACCCCAATCAACAGCTGCCAACGAGCCGCTACAATGACGGCGAATGTCACACCATATGCTAATCCATCCGTTCTGCAACTCGGGGAGCTTTTAGACGTTTTTTTTTTTCCAGGGGTGTAATTTTATGTATCATTTTTGCTCTCGCTGTTGATGTTTCTGTGGTTGCGGAAAATCAGAAGATGTATCTCTGATGAGAATTGCGTATTCGTATGCCCACACTGACGCTCAGATTCCTGAGAGGTGTTTACCCCTCCACCTATCATCCTCCGCTAATGGCTTTGATAATTGCGGACTGGCTCAATGAGAGAGGACATTATTTAGAATTATAGATGGAGACAAGTGTCATACATTTCTACATAGCATCAAACATGATCTTACTCAAGGAGATTTGCACACTCGCTGTTCAATTTGTGGCTGTTAAGCAGTAATACTGTCCTCAAATGCATCACTGGTGGTGAGCTGGTTTTATGCAGACGTTTGATTCATGGCTGGTGCCAAGCCCAGATAAAAATGCCATCAGGTATGGACATCAGAATATTCTGAACAAATCATGCGAGTGACTCATTTTGAAGATGCTAAAATCTGAAAGTCACAACAGCGACTGAAGTATGCTAAAATGTTGTTGATTTGGGGCTGGACGACTGATTTTGCTTCATAAATTACAAGACCTATCCATAAATGAATTGTATTCATATTTGTAGAACGACATTATAGGCACTTACGAAGGTAATGTTATATTAAGGTGTGTGAGATGGCAGGTCGTCCTGTCCGGCACAGGCAGCAGGGTCGCAACATGAACTCCATGGAGCTCCGTCACTCGATGACTCAGTGGCTCGAATGCATTAAGTGCTCTCAAGAAAGTCCTTTGGTTAGGAAACCAAAGAAATCACCACATGGCTACAGGTTGAAGACACACACACGCGCACACACTCACACACATAGTTAATGGCATTGATGGTTTCCACTCCTGCGTGTGAGACTATCTTTTATTAATAGCCTTGGCTCTTGTGCGGACATGGAGACCATTTTAATGATTAATCTGAAAGGAAAGTGCCCATTTGACATGTGGTGCTGTCTTGGCTGGAAAGGAGCCACTGTTCACTCTTCAGGTACATTAGGAAATATTTTTCCATTGCTTTTGTGCTTATTTTAGACAAGTTAAGCCTTATGACTGCATTCGCTTACCAAGGACACTGGGACTCAATCGCTTACAGTGTGTACGCACAAATTTGTCATTCACGAATATGTTTGTACGCAGCTTTGAAAGAGCGTTTTGCCAGCAGTGCCATTGAGGAACGTGAAACAGGGAGCATTAACGATGATGGCACAACAGTTTCGAGAAGGAAGATATTTATGACCCATTCCTGACTTTATTCCAAGTGTTACACCTGCTAGCATGATTTGAATGTAGCCTCACTTCACCTGTCCCCCATTATAACTCTTCAGGGCTATCTTAGCGTATAACTGACAATAAAAAATCACTTGGACTTTTTACTTTTGTACTCAGATACATTTCAGAGTTGACTAATCTAGTTTCTTATACTTAAGTTCAGAGTGTGACTATTTTTTGCCTCCTCTAACTCAAAGGCCAGTTGATTAGATACACCTGCTCGCGCTTGCAAAAACATTTTCTTTCTTTGTGACCTTGCTTTCAGACAGGCTGGTGGAGGACTAAAGGCAGCTGTCCTTGGCATGGGGCAGAGGCTGAGTCGGGTGGGGGGGGGGCGGCAATGCATCGGGGAGCAACGGGGAGGTGGGTCGGGGGTCTGGAGTGAACGGTGTTGAATACTAACAAACGTCTTGAACAAAAGGCCAGATGTCCTTTCGGGGCTCGGTGTGTCCTTTCCATTCTGAACTGCTTCTTAATTGTTGAAGGCGTTCTCGCCTGATCTCTATCACAATGAGAGGGAAAACCAGACAATAATACATCATAAAAGAACCCCTAATATTATGTTTATTTTATGGCCGTCGTATTTAATGAGCACAGAGCGTGAGAAGCTCATATGCAGAGGACAAATGCCATCGTTGGGCTTATTGGTATTCTCTTGGGGTCTAAAATCTCCTTAGTGGTTATAACATGCACCGATAGCAGAGTGAAGGACGGAGAACTAATTTGGTATTCGCTGAAAAAGCTGTTAGGGTGACAATACTAAATAGGACAATTCAGACATGTCAGAGTGCGTTTTATGGCGCGTGACCTGAAGAACCGTTCCTCAATTCATGTTGCTGGTGTCCTTTTGGGATTCAACTTGAAAACATTGGGCTAATATTTTACTTCAGAGACAGACTTTAGCTTTCATATATCGTATCTCTCTCGATATTGGCTCGACATTAATCTACTCACCTGCTTCACAATACGAATAAAAATAAAAATATCCCATTGAGTGGAAAACAGTGGGTCATCACACCATCTTTGTGTTTGATTAGGGAATAGGAGTTCCATGATTTTATTATATCATGAGGTGTTTATTTGAGGTGAGGTGTTTGGACATGAATTGAAGCGTGGCATCTATTTGATCAGAGGCCACTCACTGCTTGAGCAAGTACTGGAATTGTATCAGAATAGAGAAACAATTTTTAAAAGTGTCATACATACAGGTCTGGTGAATTATTGAGCCAGAGGTTTTTACTACACTTTTGAGCCTAAGTCATTGGGTACACATGAACATGTAGCGAGTGTGTTTGATGCTTAGTTGCTTCCCAGTTAAAGAAACGTTACCAATGGACGCGAAGTACAATTTGAATTATAGGAAGGCTGTTTCCCAATCACTCCATAGTGACTCTGAAAATGAAAAAAAAAAGATCAAATACCTTGGTTTAATTTGCACTGTAATTTTTCTTTTTTTTTTTTTTGCATCGTCTTTGGAATTGGCTGGTCTTTTTTTCTTTTTTTTTTTTTTTTTTTTGGTTGCTTTTCCCGAAAGAAGCCAGTGAGTCATTTTTTTGCAGATGCAAAACTCCTCTTGTTCTTCAGTCAGCATATCGACACTGTTCCTGTTATCTAGTACCAGTAAGGAGTGCGCTTGTGAGTGACACCTGGACTGCATTCGCAGGGCCATTGGGCCGGCAGGAGGACAGTGACGGGAATGAGTTTCCTGTCCAAACTTGCCCTCAGCCTGACTTAAACTGACGTGCTTTGACCTGCTGCCAGCGCAATCTTCCTTCCAAAGAGACATCAATAAATACAGTAGATACTATGCCGAAGGGAATGTGAGCAATGAAGAAATTCAGAAGGAAATATTTACGATATATTTATTGGTCATGTTTTCCAAGTTTGACACAACCGTTGGAGCCTTAACCGACCAAAATGTGCACAGGCTTCGTGTTCATTCTGTAAAAGGCTAATAAAACACCGGTGGTCGCCTTTAGTTGCTCTCAGCAGTGTATCACAACACCCGTGACTCTATTTCTGTAATATGTCGTTGAAGGTGTTTTGTACTCTATCAACATTTATGTTACAATACATTCCTGGACTGCGTTTCAAAGCTTATTGTCGCAAAATAGTTTGAGGAAATATTGCTAGTAGTGATGCGCCTGCTTGTAATCGCCCTTCTTAATGGTCTTATGTAAATCATCTTTACAGCCCTCCTGGCTGTACACGATTAAAAGTGACGAATTACCGCTTCTCTTTGTGAAGGTTAACGCTAAGTGTGTCACGGGGCACTTTCAACAGTATCGTTTCTGTCTCAGCAAAATGAGTTCCGGTCTGATTCCAAAAGCTCTAGGGTCAGCTAAGTGAACTACAGTGTTTCGCACGAGGATGAGATTTGTTTTGCAAAGTGCTATATAGGGTGCGCTATACATTTCTATGAGGATTAGCGAATCCCACAGCAGAATCTCTGCATAGTTAATACATCAGCTCTTTGAGCTTCCAGCACCAGAGACACCTCCGATGGTTCTAATACTGCATGAAGTCAGTCTCTCTCTGGCATGGCTTAGGTTCACATTTCAATATAAAGCCATCTGGAATTACTGGACTCCATTTCCTAAAGCTAAACTGAACAACCTCGCGACAATTTCTACCGCTTGTGTCATTTTCGACTAAAACTCAAAAGCCTTGGACTAATATTGCATTTGTGTGTCTTGCTTTTGTGCACTGTAGTCATGCTGGTAGGCACAAGTGAATTTGAGGAGCAGCACTAATAGTCAGCAGCGATAAACGTGGTAACTGCACCTGAGAAGAAGAGTGCCCTGTGTGGGTGCGATTGGCTAACATGTACTGTATATACGCATATATACCGTATTTTCCGCACTATAAGGTGCGCCTAAAAGCATTCCATTTTCTCAAAAGCCGACGGTGCTGCTTATAATCCGATGCGCCTTCTATATGGATCAATATGTTCCTTGTATTGTATTCCCTTTAGCACAGCCTTATAATGCGGTGCACCCTATATTTGGAAACACTTATAGGCCATTCATTAAAGGTGCGCCTTATACTCCGAAGCGCCTTATACTGTGGAAAATACGGTACTCTAATATCGACTGATTAAATCAGCTGGCCGATTCATCGGTTCAGATGTTAGTACAGATCCATCAGGAATCACATGTTAACTCTCCTCATTCTTCTTTTCATGGCTTTGTTTGCCATTGAACTTTTTCCATCTTTTCCACAGCGAGATGCAAAAGGCCAGTATCTGTTTGACCTCATCTGCCACCACCTCAATTTGCTGGAGAAAGATTATTTCGGCATCCGATATGTGGACCCCGACAAGCAGCGGGTAAGCAGCTGGAACGTCGCTTGTAAATTCCCTTGTGAGCTAACGGTGCGTAGCAGAGTACAAATGCTACAATTGAGCATTGAGCACATGGCTGCCCGGTAGGCCATGTCACTAAGTCAGGATAGCGGCAGACTTGACTCAATTGCAGAAATCAACTCTTGCCTATAATATCAACAACAACAAAAACATGGCTTGGAAAACCTTGACGTTTTATTTCGGTAAAGAAGTGTGACCCCTTCATGAAGTCAACAATGACCCATGCGCTTTTCTTAATCCAGCCCACTAACAAATAATTACTTAGAATGTGTTTGTTGCTCAGGTTAAGTGCGAACTGTTTGTCTGTGATTGGCTACCAACCGGTCCCCAGTGTACCCCCACTCTCGGCCAAAGTCAGCTGGGATCGAATACAGCTCATCCGTGACCTTAATGAGTTCAAGCCTTGTAGAAAATGGATGGCTGAAACCTGGCGCAGTCATCTTGGGTCACATCTGGGCCATCAGGGAATAAAAAGTTCCACTGATGGTAGATCCTGCTTAATGAACCTCTACCTGACCACATAAAGTCATACAACAAAATCGTAATGCAGCCCTCACAGATTCAATCTTCATGCTCCCCCGAAAATGAAATCCTTTCGCCCTCCATTAGCCGCACTGGTATGTGGTTTTTCTGAAGGCTACTGTTGTACCGCAGATGCTTTTACAATTTGATTTCACACAACCTTTAAGTCTTTTCCTCACAATAATAGCTCTCAACCACATTTTTCCCGGGATAAAATGGCAATTTTTGCTGTGAAACCTCCAAGGTCTAGCGCGATTTGTTCCAGCCTGCTGTCAACCTACAATTTGCTTGATTCACAAAACAAACAAACACAAACAAACAAACAACCACATAAAATATTATAATTATATAACCACATAATTGAAACAAAATCAGTCCATGTTCTTGTTGTCTAAACACCTATTATTCAAGTTGCTTCTTCCTTTCGATAAAGTGTTGTAGGAAGCCAAAGACAAAGCAAAATGCATGCAGAGTTAATCCGTTTGAGGCGCGGTGAAATGAAAGCTTGTGTGGTACAATGACGTCTTGCTCGTTTGTTCCAACATTTTGTGTGACTAAAGAGCAATCCATCCTCCATAGTGGTGGGGTTGCTAATGCTGTTTACCAGCCAATCACAGGGCACATAATAGACAAACCTCCGCCCACAAGGCCCAGAGCTGAGATCCGAACCTTGAACCTCAGAACTGTGAGGGGGGGCGGGGTCATACAACCTGAATTGGTTTGCAGGCAATCACAAGGCACATGTCAACAAGTAAACGTCCCGATGCACATCCAGAACTTTGGACGAGTCTCAATAAGCCACACATGCTTGTTTTTGAAATGTGGTAGGAAGCAGATGTGCGCCCCGTGACCCTTTTGAGGATAAAGCGAATCAGAAAATGGATGGATGGATGTGCACTCAAGAGGAAGACCGCGCGGTATTGTTGCTCTGTGCCCATATGCAAATCACATGCTTGACTTTACTTTAAATATACATTGGATGAGATGTAGTCAAAGAACATCAGAGTGAGGACTCGTGTCATTGTTTGCTTTAATTACGATGGGATGGTCCAGGACACGTTTAGTGCGGCTTGGCGGCAACTCTCCTTTCATGAAGTATTCACATGCATGCTGGCAGTCAACACGAATGTTGTTTTTGTCGCTGTTAGCACTGATGGACGATGAAGAACTGCTACCGACTTAAATTACTAGGGCCAGGACGGATTATCCAGTCAGCCAGTATAATCAGCCGATAACGCTCTTTTAAAATCGGATGACATCTTTGACGATTTTTGTCGTTGTCGTATATTACACATTGACATATTCCAATTCAAGACAAAGATTTTGACATTCAAACATTCCCCCAATCTCAAAAAAAAATCTGACTACTTTTGCATGTTAACAAATACTAAATGATTGGTTACTGTAATTTTATGCTGCCAAATATTGGAATTGGCACTGGCCTCAAAAAAAAAAAAAAAATAATGCTTTTTGTTGAAATTTCCCAATGACCCGAAAATGCATTCATGCAAATGTGCTTTGAATTTTGTCACCAACTCACCAAATCTGCTCTGCTTTCAACGCAGCACTGGTTGGAGTTAACAAGGTCGATTGCAAAGCAAATGAAATGTAAGTACAGCTCATTTTTTGTCATCCATGAAAACTGTGACAACCAACATCGGTAATGGAAGTACTGTACAGTGTGTTTACGCTCCCATGACAAAGTGGCGAGCTGATTTGACAACAGAAAATTAAAAAGCGATTAGTCACTCTCAGAGGAAAAGTTCAACACGGTGGTGAATGGGCTGATGATTTAACGTTAAATTTTGTATCGACGCAATCAATTCGCTGGGGCGGTTGCTTGGCAACTGGCCCAAAAGTACCTCTTGACTTGCATACGTAAGGGGGGGGGGGGTCGAATCAAATTTGACCTTTTCAAATCCTAAACTGTAAATTCACAGTTTTGTTTGGCAGTGACGTGTTTTCGATGTGATGTTTATTTATTTGAATGTTGCTGATTGTTTGATGTGGGTCAATTTCTCTTGATTTCAATTTTTAGTCCTACTGTACTTTGTCTTGTTTCTTCTAGCTCAGCCTCCATTCACCATGTGTCTGCGTGTCAAGTTCTACCCTCCTGATCCAGCTGCTCTAAAGGAGGAAATCACTCGGTAAAACCTCCTTTTTTTCACCGCTCCTACTTGACCCAAGGATATACGCTAAATAATAATGATCTTAAGTGGGAAGAACATTGGAGAAAAGTTTTCAGAATTCCAAATCTTATTTTAATGTTTGAAACAATTTGAATTGTTCAATTAAATGATCTACGACTGAGGGTACAGTGGTCGACTACTTAGCACGTCCGCCGCACAATGCAGAGGTGCAGGGTTCGATTCTGGAGGATTCTGTGGAGTTTGCATGTTCTCCCCGTGCCTGCGTGGGTTTTGTCCGGGTACTCCGTCCGGTTTCCTCCCAAAATTCCAAAAACATGCATGGCAGGCTGATTGAAAGATCCGTTTCTAATTGCAACTTCTACACCATGACAAAAACAACGTTAAACAAACACTAATTCAGTTTTCCCAACTTGTGAAAACAGCCATCCTGGCTAGTTATTCAGTGTGCATGTTCCCACATATCTAAATGTGTCTTTCGATGTAACAAACAGTAATCATGGCCTTCAATGATTAAAAAAGACTGAGTGCTTTTCCAATCTGAGACTTTCTAATGAATATTACACTGTTTGCCAAAGGACTTGTTCAGCAGGAGGTATGCAAAAAGCTTTCTCTGGTAACCGAAAATGAAACATGGCAGAACAACACTTGCTTTCCATCACGTTTGTATTTTTCAAAAGCAAATTCTTCAACCAAACCGCTTCCAAAAGGTCATTTTGATGCATTTCAACGAGCAAGTCCTCATTATATGACGTTTCCTGTTTCCTGTTCTGATCCTTTTGTCTCTACTATTCGATTTTATAGCCAGAACTGGACACATGTCCAGAATGTTGTGTCCAGTGATGATGCAGCAATTCTGGAGCTCCCCTTTAATATCATCCGCATCCTCCTCAGACGTCCCACTGAGCTTCGTGGTGTCTTTTCATTGCAGATATCTCGTCTTCCTGCAAATCAAAAGGGACCTTTACCACGGCCGCCTCCTGTGCAAAACCTCGGACGCCGCATTGCTGGCTGCCTACATCCTTCAAGGTAATGGAAGGTAACATATGGACCTGCTGCCATGTCTAACTCTGCATTAACTTGGCTGGAGAACTCAGCAGGCTGACAAATACATGCTTGTTGTAGAAAAAGGCGAGACAGGCCAACTGAAAATGTCCAACTAAGATGTGTGAGCCTCTAGGCATGTATTTTTTCCAAACTGAAATGCCCCTTATTACACTGTCAGAAAATAGGGTCCATTTTTTTTCCGCGGTACAACATTTTGTTATGTACACTATAAAGTTCACAATTGAACCTCCAGGTACAAATAAGTACTGTTCGAGTTCTGTTCATTGTTAGAAAAGCTTTGCAAATGCTCATAAGTGGCCAAGGGAGCATGTCTCTACATTTTGTTTAAATGCTAAGCCGATGTGAATATGTTTTGAAATAGCCTCCCGTTGCAAGGAATGCATCCATCCATCCACCCATCCATTTTCTAGTCCGCTTATCCTCACAAGGGTCGCATAGTAGTCGTAGTCTAGACTAGGGATGGGCAATTTACCGTATTTTCCGCACTAAAAGTCGCCCTGGATTATGAGGCGCACCCTATTTTGTATTTTTTTTCATACATTGGGCACACCGCATTATAAGACGCAATCTACAATGCATCCACTAGATGGAGCTACGCTCCAGGAAACACCAACAGAACGATCAAACGTCAGTAAAACTTATTTAATAAAGCAGCGACACAGTTCACTTAACCAACAGCAAGTTATAACATTGACTCGTTAACGTTGAACTCTCTTGCTGCTGCTCTATTTCTGTGTTCAACTGCGTAACCGTTCGCCTTAAGTTTGAACTTTGCGCAGTCAGCATGTCTCGAGCAAGGAGCCATTTTGGGGTCGAAATATTACCGTAATGACCATACACAAGGTGCATCGGATTTTAAGGCGCGCTGTGAGCTTTTAAGAAAATGGAAGGCTTTTAGGTGCGCCTTTTAGTGCGGAAAATACGGTAATGTCATTTAGGCACTTTAACCCTTTCATGCACTCTGTAACCTGATAACATCATAAGCTGCCCACTGGGGTAACCGCTGTCCCTTGTGAAGAAAATAAAAGGCTGTTGTTATTGACCATTATTCGGTGGCCAGGATGTATTGTGGCAAACTTTTTTGGGGGGGGGGCATAATGTCATTACTCAATATATTATGTTACCCGTAGTTTCCTGACTACTTGAGTGACGGTGAATTGCCACAAAATCAATCATGGCTGACAGCATCTCTACATCTCTCGTCTCTAATGGAGATGAATAGGTGGAAGTGCTTTGAAGTGATGTTCGCCATCAAGTCGTAAGTGAACTACAACTTAAAACTGATCAGGTGTGTTCAGGAAACATTCTTTTTAATAGTCTTGCCCATCTCTAACCTAGACAGTAGCCTTACACAGTGTCCCCCAGCAATAGGTGGCCAGAGGACCCTTAAAAGTACAAATGGAGCACATTTTTATGACAACCCCAAAATAGACTGAGTGGTTATCTGGTCTCCCATCTTCCTTTAGCCAAAGACACGCATGGTGAAATGTGGAGATCGTATCATAAAAAAAGCACGGTGCTGGAGGGTTAGGGGAGGGGCTCATGAATTAAAGATGTTGCTGCCTGGTCAGGTTCCTCGCACTGGAGAATTCAGTATCAGGGTCATGCGAATGTAGATTGAAGTTAATAAGCACGTAACCTTCACATAACCTCTTTGTGTTCCTTCCCCCAGCTGAGATCGGGAATTACGACCCCGGGAAACACCCCGAAGGTTACAGCTCGAAATTCCAGTTCTTCCCCAAACACTCGGAGAAACTGGAGCGACGGATCGCCGACATACACAAGACAGAACTGATGTACGATGAATTTTTTTAAAAAAAAATACTCGACAAGGGGTGGGCAAACTGCTGTACGGTGGCAGTGAACGCACCTCAGCTCACGTCATAACTAGCAGCAGTTTGGCAGAGTGTCAACAATTCTTCAAAAAAAGGCATCGAGACGTTTACTGTCAAACTAAACATAAAACTAAGATAGCTACACTTTGTCTAATTAAAACATACCTTTACCATTAAAATCTGCTGGCTGAATGCTAACACATGAAGGAAATAGTCAAAAATGGGCGACTAAATAGAAGCTATGTGTCAAGAAAAATTTGGGTTTGACATCCCCTTTGATTAATCAATTTTAGGGGGAAAATGGTATGACAGAACTTTTTGATCATGTAAATTCTGGGTGGGCCACCTTCAAGAATGGTCGTGCTTCCTGCTCGGATACAAGCCTGAATAAATGCCATGCGCTTGCCCTGACATTGTCGCTGCCTGCTTAAGAGGCCTCATGATGATAATGATGATGATGATGATGACAGCTGTCTATGCAATAAAAAGCACTCAAGGTCCACAATCCACTCAGAGGCTACACTTTACACTGTCACTTAATTATGCCACTTAATAATTTTTTTTCTCTTCTCCTTCAAGTTACATCAGTTTAGCAGATTTTAATCAAGTACAACCTATGCGCGTTTTCAAATTTGGTCAATTCAAATGACATTTTCTTTTTCAGTGCACTTTTCCACCTCTGTTTTTCAAGAAAGAAACACCAACAGAACGATCAAACGTCAGTAAAACTTATTTAATAAAGCAGCGACACAGTTCACTTAACCAACAGCAAGTTATAACATTGACTCGTTAACGTTGAACTCTCTTGCTGCTGCTCTATTTCTGTGTTCAACTGCGTAACCGTTCGCCTTAAGTTTGAACTTTGCGCAGTCAGCATGTCTCGAGCAAGGAGCCATTTTGGGGTCGAAATATTACCGTAATGACCATACACAAGGTGCATCGGATTTTAAGGCGCGCTGTGAGCTTTTAAGAAAATGGAAGGCTTTTAGGTGCGCCTTTTAGTGCGGAAAATACGGTAATGTCATTTAGGCACTTTAACCCTTTCATGCACTCTGTAACCTGATAACATCATAAGCTGCCCACTGGGGTAACCGCTGTCCCTTGTGAAGAAAATAAAAGGCTGTTGTTATTGACCATTATTCGGTGGCCAGGATGTATTGTGGCAAACTTTTTTGGGGGGGGGGCATAATGTCATTACTCAATATATTATGTTACCCGTAGTTTCCTGACTACTTGAGTGACGGTGAATTGCCACAAAATCAATCATGGCTGACAGCATCTCTACATCTCTCGTCTCTAATGGAGATGAATAGGTGGAAGTGCTTTGAAGTGATGTTCGCCATCAAGTCGTAAGTGAACTACAACTTAAAACTGATCAGGTGTGTTCAGGAAACATTCTTTTTAATAGTCTTGCCCATCTCTAACCTAGACAGTAGCCTTACACAGTGTCCCCCAGCAATAGGTGGCCAGAGGACCCTTAAAAGTACAAATGGAGCACATTTTTATGACAAACCCAAAATAGACTGAGTGGTTATCTGGTCTCCCATCTTCCTTTAGCCAAAGACACGCATGGTGAAATGTGGAGATCGTATCATAAAAAAAGCACGGTGCTGGAGGGTTAGGGGAGGGGCTCATGAATTAAAGATGTTGCTGCCTGGTCAGGTTCCTCGCACTGGAGAATTCAGTATCAGGGTCATGCGAATGTAGATTGAAGTTAATAAGCACGTAACCTTCACATAACCTCTTTGTGTTCCTTCCCCCAGCTGAGATCGGGAATTACGACCCCGGGAAACACCCCGAAGGTTACAGCTCGAAATTCCAGTTCTTCCCCAAACACTCGGAGAAACTGGAGCGACGGATCGCCGACATACACAAGACAGAACTGATGTACGATGAATTTTTTTAAAAAAAAATACTCGACAAGGGGTGGGCAAACTGCTGTACGGTGGCAGTGAACGCACCTCAGCTCACGTCATAACTAGCAGCAGTTTGGCAGAGTGTCAACAATTCTTCAAAAAAAGGCATCGAGACGTTTACTGTCAAACTAAACATAAAACTAAGATAGCTACACTTTGTCTAATTAAAACATACCTTTACCATTAAAATCTGCTGGCTGAATGCTAACACATGAAGGAAATAGTCAAAAATGGGCGACTAAATAGAAGCTATGTGTCAAGAAAAATTTGGGTTTGACATCCCCTTTGATTAATCAATTTTAGGGGGAAAATGGTATGACAGAACTTTTTGATCATGTAAATTCTGGGTGGGCCACCTTCAAGAATGGTCGTGCTTCCTGCTCGGATACAAGCCTGAATAAATGCCATGCGCTTGCCCTGACATTGTCGCTGCCTGCTTAAGAGGCCTCATGATGATAATGATGATGATGATGATGACAGCTGTCTATGCAATAAAAAGCACTCAAGGTCCACAATCCACTCAGAGGCTACACTTTACACTGTCACTTAATTATGCCACTTAATAATTTTTTTTCTCTTCTCCTTCAAGTTACATCAGTTTAGCAGATTTTAATCAAGTACAACCTATGCGCGTTTTCAAATTTGGTCAATTCAAATGACATTTTCTTTTTCAGTGCACTTTTCCACCTCTGTTTTTCAAGAAATTGACTTTTCTTGTAAAAGTCCATTGAGAACACATTGACTGAAAGGGAAATGATGAAATGTTTTGAATGGATTATGGTGAAACACAATAGTGCTGGTTCTGTACCAGTAATGATGGCGTTGAGCTGTTTGAGGCTCTGCTGCCCACTAGTGGCAAATATTTTCTTCACTAGTGCCGAATCACTTTGCTGGTAAATATCAGACTTGCCAATGAATGCTAAAATAATTCAACTTTTTTTTTTTTTTAACCGTTAATCATTTGTCACTTTGGATCCCCTATGGCTAATCTTCCTGATATCGACCACATCAACCAAAAAAAACCCAAAAAAAAAACAACAACAGTGTAATATGAAATCTTCCAAAATTCACTTGTGCCTTTTTGCAAGTAGTTTAAAATGCCACAAATAGAAAGAATATAAAACTTTAAAAATAATTATTTTTGTTTTTGTTTCATAAATGTCCCATGTTTTTTGTTATGTTCCCCAGTCCTGATGTTTGGTGTGTTGTCGTTCCCTCTCAGTGGACAGACACCTGAAACATCAGAGCGAAATTTCCTGCAGAAGGCCCAGATGCTGGAAACATATGGTGTTGATCCGCATCCGTGCAAGGTGGGCTGCTGCATGCGGATCGGAAGCAACGACACCAACAACAACAACAACAGCACGTCGTGAGCTGCACTCTATAGTACAATGTTTTGGATGTGTCCTCATTTGACTTTTGTCTCTTCCAGGACGTGTCGGGAAACCCGGCTTTCCTTGCCTTCACGCCCTTTGGTTTTGTGGTCTTGCAGGGAAACAAGAGAGTGCATTTCCTCAACTGGTGAGTAAAATCATGCAGGTTGGCATACAACCACACTGCATAACCACATGGGCTCATCATGTCTTATTTCGATACACGAGAGAGACCAAATATTACAATCAGCTCTTTAGTGTGACACGGTGGTATTTGTAATATTTGTACAACCACAACAATGAAAGTTATATGATCTTAAAATTAGAGTGCACACCTACATTTAGATTGGGACCAAATTAACCGTTTATACTTTTGTATTAATGGTACATGACAAGACTTCTTTTTTCGACAGAGAAAACAAATTACTCTTTAATTGTCAGTTGTATATTATATTGTATTTTGTATTAATCCTACCTCCATTGCGGCTTCCGAATTCATAGTCCTGCTATTTAGTGGATTATTTTTTCCTTTCGGTTTTTGACTTTATTTTATTGTGCCGGCTGTTTATTTGGGGTGCAATTCCATTGTCAACCGCTAGATGGCAGGCAAAGTATTTTGTGTGACGCTGTAAATTTGAAAGACGAAGAATGCAAACAGGAAGCGTTTCAGGCTCAACACTTTTGTTTGTTTGTTTGTTTGTTTGTTTTTTTAATGAAAATGTGAAATCCTTTTTAATACTCGTCCTTACGCCTACAGAAAGCAACGACGGTAGCTTCATTTGGTAATGTACATCTTTGGGGATGATTCCTGATGTACATTGTGAGATGATGAGTCTGCTAAAATTAATCGAGAAAAAAAATTATTGTAAATTAAGAGGGATCGGAACACTCTTACACTGTACAATATTTTCATGTTATCCATTGCTGTTGCTCTCTCGCGATATTATGTGTTTGAATGTGTTTCACATTTTATGTTTAAAAAGTGTGTTGAAAGCCCTTCAAAGAATATGTGCCGTAAATGCTATAAAAACATGCCAAGGTAGTATTTAAATAAGGTGTTTCAATATCGTGGACTTCACTTACATGGGGTTGTCTGGAATGTAACCCCGCCATGGAAGGACGATTACTGTATTATTATTCGTAGTAGTTGCAGTAGTAGTAGCAGTATTAGGGTCGCACGAGTAGTATGTATAATTTATTCATGGCGCAGCTGTTTGTACGCTATGCACTCTTCCATCTGTCACTACCTGTGAAACGAGGTGGTGCGCAGATGGCTCATTCATCACACTTGCTCTATTCAGAAAGAGTAAAAATTGGACTTCTTTGAGGCTTTACTCAGAAATATGTGTGTGGTACTCACGTTTCCTACCCTCTTATTCACCGTCCGCCTTCAGGGAATACAACCAGCCATTTTTTTTTTTTTTGTCCACTCTGTGGCTGTTTATGTGATCTTCAAGTACTTTTCATGAATATTTAATGAGCTGGTTTCTCTGCACTTTCCTTCCCGGACAGGAACGAGGTGACCAAGCTCAAGTTTGAGGGCAAGACGTTCCACGTTTATGCAAACCACAAGGAGGTGAGAGCGCGACTTGCTGGCATGCATGTTGTCCATCGTGTGCTCCCCCCTCCTCCCCCCCAGTGTTTTTAATTATCCTGCACGCCGTCCTCTATTTTCAACGTGCAGGAAACAAAGATCACTCTGACATACTTTGCGCCCACACCGGAGGCATGCAAGCATCTTTGGAAGTGCGGCGTGGAGAACCAAGCTTTCTACAAGTGAGTTGAACAGTTCAACGCCTCCGCGTGACCTTTGGATCATCGACGCCGTTCTGTTCAAGGAAGTCGGCGGGGTTTCGAGGTTATGAGGCTCGATCACACGTTATTTTCTCCAAGGCAAAAGTGGGCATTAAAAATGAATGTCTCACTTACCAGGACTATAAACATATTGAATAGTGTATGGAGACGTGCAAGGGACTCGTATGCATATCACACATGCGGCGGTTGAATAATTCACTTGTGCTTTCCTTCTTTGCTGGCGTGGAGGCAGTGCAAACACGATCCTCAATAAATTACCATTTTAATGGCTCCTTGTCATACAGAAAACAGTGTAAAATTGATTTGAGTCTTTTTCTGTGGTCACGAACGTTGCTTTTCAATATTTTTTTTAGATAATAGTCACTACAAAGGCTGAAAAAGTCGCGAACTTCACAACACTGACGTTGATTTTGTAAACCACTTTCTGTTTTCAGTCAAGTCGTTGGAACAAGAAGTACCCCGTACTCAACGACACGTTTTGAAAAAAAAAATCAATTTTAGAAAATGAGTTTGAGGAATAGGTTTCAATAATCAATGAGGAAGAAAATCAATGAATCAGCTAGTCCTAATTGTAAGACAAAAAATACCCCAAACATGTCTGCTAAATTTGAATATAAATTGCAAATGCTATCCATTACTCATACTCTTCTGTGCTGGCAGCACAATGAACCCAAAAGGCCAAAAATGAAAAGCATCCCTGTGGTGCTAATCCACTAAGCTGAAGCCTCTGCATTTATTGGTTGAATTCCGAATGATATGACATTCCAATTTTGAGCTTCTGCTCTGCTGTTCTTATGACTTCTGTATCAACAAACTTGATTTTTATCCCTGCTTTCTTCTTATTAAAGTTGAAATGTCCCTTTTGTTTTTTTGTTTTTTTTTTTGGTCATTTACAGGCTTGAGAAGTCAAGTCAGGTCCGCACAGTGTCCAGCAGCAATTTGTTCTTCAAGGGCAGCCGCTTCCGTTACAGGTACTGTCCACCTAGCCTCCTCGAAGACGTAATGACCAAATGACAGGATGGGGAGGGCGGCACCGGTGAAAAAAAAAAGATTTCCTCAGAGGAGGTGACCTTTTCCTGGCCTTCTTTTCTGCCATGTCAGTCTGTTTTAGCCACAGAGGATAAACCATCACAAGAGGCAAGCAAGCCAAATTAATGGGACAGATTGCAGCAGGCAAAATCACGGTGCATTTGCTTTAATCCTGCTGTTTACCGGGGAATTGACACAAATTGAAAGCCAAACTATCATTATTTGTTTATTCTTGAAGAAATTCAGATTTAGGATCATTTCCCTTCATGAATGAAATTTAGACTCAGGTACTTGGGAGTTTTAGAACATATATAGTTTCTCCAGTGATCCTAATACTCGGGGTCATCCACACATGGCCCGGAGGAAATTTAATCTATTTAACCAGCAATGGACAGATGTCCCAATACATTTGTCGATACAACGAATAGAACCTCACATGGTCTGTGTGCTTTGCAACAGCGGGCGCGTGGCAAAAGAGGTGATGGAGCACAGTGCCAAAATCAAACGAGAACCTCCGGAAATACACAGGTACACAGTGACGAACTGCTGAGAGGTCCTGAATTTATTCTTTTTTTATTTTTTTTGCTTTATCACACTATCTGTAGCAAGCACACACATAGTAAGGAGGCTACTGTCTATCACTTTCTCGCAGCGCTGTGATGCTTGTGTGTGTGTCTGTGCAGAGCTGGCCTGGTTCCTAGCCGGAGCTGTCCATCCATCACCCACGGGCCTCGGCTCACCAGCGTACCGCGCACACGGCGGAGAGCTGTACACATCTCTATCATGGAGGGTAAGCCCGTAATCGGGACACTTGATTGTGTCTGAGCTGATTGAAAAGCTTCCGCCGTCATATGGGTTCATCGAGAAAGAAATAATACTGTATAGGAATGTGGATTTATTGTCTTTTGCGAGGTTGTCAGCCTGCTGTTTTGGCCTTCCTCGTTTTTCTTCTTCTGTGGTGACCGGCGTTCGTCTTCAAAATCGTTCATCCCACTAATATGATTAACTAAAGTGAAAAGAACAGTCAGTAGTCCCTCCTTGTATCTTGCAACGGAGTCACGCGCAGGACCCTTGAGTATATTTTGCTGTGGTGTCAGAAAAGCTGACCGCATGGCTTGCAGTGGTATTAATACCTCAACTGAAAATAGCCCCGGGGCCCGCTACTCCATGTTTGTCACTGGACAGGGGTGGGGCCAAGTCAGGCGGTCCCGTGTGAAGCGCTTCACACGCTCGTCCTCAAGTAATACACGGCAACTCCGTGGCCTGGATTCCGGGACAGTGACCATCGGGACCAACGGTACTTTTAGGAACAGGACAGTCTCCCTCGTGCCGTAGTCATGGTGAAGTGTCTGATCCGCATCACCACCCGGGTGAACGTCCACTTGCGCATGATCAACCACTGCTACCGCGACGTCCGCGTTCGCGTGCTGAGCCTGGGGCCCCGAATGCTGGGCAAGGCCCTGGGGGTCCTACCCCTGTACCCTGCTCTGGGCGAGGAGCCGGGGTCAGCCGGCATGACTCCATTGCCTGGCACGTCGCTGCCCTGCCTTCAGTCCAGCAACCATCCAGGTAAACTCGTCAGGGAGAGGCACCGCGTGGCTCACTCCAGCGAGAGTCAAGCGTAAACATAGAAGATATTTTTATAGCGCATTGTTTGCATACATTTTGTTGATGGCAGCAAAGTGACCTACTGTAGTGATTGATTAGCATGCCTCACAGTTCTGAGGTTCTAAGTTTGTATACAATGATCCATTTTACTGTACGTCAACAGTATATACAATACAACACCACCACAATACAACACTTTTTTTCCCCACATTTTAGGAGGAATACATTTTCTCTGTTTTGCCATTTCAATCTGAGCTACGATATAAAATGTTACGGTTCTACAGTGTCGTTGTTTTAAGTGTTTTTCATTGCTTCCTGGAAATTTGGCTCAAAGTAAATTTTTCTCTTGGGTGCATTTGTCTTGACAAATTTATTTTGATTGCCCAATTTTTGATTGTTGTTGTTGTCCAAAACAGGATGAGTCTTTGTTTAGGCCTCATTCCAGATTATGACATCATTACATTTGAAGACATATGGTTTTCATTTAGGGTGGCCCGGTGGTCAAGTGGTTAGTGCGTCGACCTCACAGTATTGGGTTTGATCCCAGGTCCGGCCTTCCTGTGTGGAATTTGCATGTTCTCCCCGTGCCTGCGTGGTGGGTTTTCGCCGGGTACTCCGGTTTCCTCCCACATTCCAAAAACATGCATGGCAGGCTGATTGAACACTCCAAATTGTCCCTAGGTGTGAATGTGAGTGCGGATGGTTGTTCGTCTCTGTGTGTGCCCTGCGATTGGCTGGCAACCGGTTTAGGGTGTCCCCCACCAACTGCCCGAAGACAGCTGGGATAGGCTCCAGCACCCCCACGACCCTAGTGAGGATAAAGCAGTTCAGAAAATGAATGACTGAATGAATAAATCAGAATTTTGCTTCACAGCAAATATTATCACCGACATATACAGTACATGTAATATTAATGCCGACATCTCACCTGTCTCCCTTTATCTCTTTAAACCAGGCCTGGAGTCTCTCCGTGACAGTGCTCACTCCACCCCGGTGCGTTCGGTATCCCACAGTGAGGCGTTCATCCCGCGCTCGCGCAGCCAGGCCACGGAGGCCGGCGAAGGGACGGCGGTGATCTCGGACGAAGCGTACAGCCCCTCCGACAGCGTCCTGCCAACGCCGGTGGCCGAGCACGGCGTGGAAATGCCGGTCACCTTGCGGCAAATTAACGGGGCACCCTGCAGCATCGAGGAGGAAAAGGAGTCGGAGGCAGGGACCCCCACGCGAGGGGTCGGGGGGGACTTTGGACAAGAGGGCGCCGCAGGGGCCCTCAGCGAGGTGGAACAGGTGAATAAGTTTGTGTTGAGTGTCCTGCGTTTGCTCCTTGTCACCATCGGACTCCTCTTTGTCTTGCTCCTCCTCCTCATCATCCTCACTGAGTCCGACCTCGACGTGGCGTTCTTACGCGACATCCGCCGGACTCCCGAATTCGAGCAGTTCCATTACGAATACTTTTGTCCCCTCAGGCGGTGGTTTGCCTGCAAGCTCCGCTGGGTGGGCGGGTTGCTCGTTAGCAAGTGAGGCGCTCGCGTTGGTAAAAAGGCCTGTTGGTGGGGGGCCGAGGAGACGCCATGGAAGTGGCACCCATGGGATTCGTCCTCCTCTTGCAGCGATGCTGGTCGGACCGACCTTGTGACCCCGGGACAACTTCTCTCTCTCCCCCTCTCACACTTTTGAGTTTTTACATCTCGCCCACCTCACTTTCGCTTTTGTTCTCCTTTTTTATGAAAACCAATTATCTTTTCCTTCCTTTTTTTTTTTTTTGCATAAAAATCTGAGAATTTTAAGGAGTATGCGCATTACTTTGAGGTGTTATTTATTGACTTTAAAGGTATTTGCATCAGACGAGACGGATGGAGCACTGCAAGAAGATGGGTAAAACAGAAGTGAGTTAGCGGGGTACGCACATATTTAACATGTTAACTGATTTTTAAAATGTGAGCGACCTCACACATGAAGGGGGGGGGGGAAATGTGTTCTTACTGTTCGCTTTGGGGCAGCTTGTGGCATCGTGGTGCCAAGGAACCTTATTGAAGTGGAGCTTCATTTAGGCATTCAGTAAGCCTGTCTAATGGAAAAGTAGTGCTATGCCACTGTTTTGATGCCAATGAACTAAGTTGGAATATGAAGAGGAGCTTCATTCAGGCATTCCATACGCCTGTCTAATAGAAAAGTCGTGCTATGCCACTGTTTTGATGCCAATGAACTAAGTTGTAATGTGAAGATGAGCTTTATTTCGGAATTCCATCGGACTATCTTCTAATAGAAAAGTAGTGCTTTTCCACCATCTTTTTCTATAGCCAATTTGAGGGGTGCGGGGGGATTTTCATATGACATACCCAACACACCACACGCGTCTTCACCAGCTATCGCAAAACTCCTCCTCTAAACCAGATGTCTGTTGTATTACTGATTTGCTATAGATGCCAAAAAACGTTGGCAAAGCAATGAAAATTCAGCTCACTTCAACATAGTTCCTTGTCACCAAATGGTGTCAAAGCTTTCCATGTAGGTGAATTTTTCAGCAAATAATGGAGCAGAAGTTAAAAAAAACCCAAACAATTGCAGTTATGTGGTTTAATACCACTGGTGAATTTGTGACTACCGGGCAATTGATTATTTGGGAAGCATGCTGATGTAAACATTTTTAACTGGGCTATGTCGTTTGAACGTATTGCAATATCTTTCGAACGTACTGCATAGTCGTTCAAACGATTTGGTAAAGTCATTTAAATGTATTGGTAAACTCATTTGGACATATTTGGTAAAGTCATTCAAACAGATTGGTCAAACATTAGCTAAATGCTAAAAACATAGCATTCTTTCCCATAATGCTCGCCTCAATACATTAGGATTTATTATCGTAAATAGTGAATTGGTCTTTTGCTGACTTGGATCGCAAAGCAGGGTAAACACTCAAATTGGACTCTATTATTGTTGTATGGGTGTACCCTGCTGGACTGAAATGGACAGGGATCTTAAAATATAGTATAAGAGGTTTAACGTAAAGTTGAAGGTTGAAGCAAAATGAAGGCTCACGTGAATGAGAAGAAGAAAAGGAGACTTTAATAGACAAATACTGTATCTCTTTTTTAGTATTGTATAAGGCTATGGTGACCTCGTAGTGTTCAGCGGAATGAGTAGCTAATAGCCTAGCTATACAGTACAAACGTAGATGTGCAATGCTTATCAAGTACCGGTACTTCTTGAATGTGTTTGTTGGTTCCGCTCATTCATTTTCATGACCTTGAGATTCAATGAATTTCAATTATTTCTTACGATGAAGATTTATTTTGGATTAAAGATCAACCTTTCGGTTTATGTATCATATTGCTAGTAGAAGATCAGATGATGTACTTTTTTCTTTTTTTTTTTTTTTTGTACAAAACGAGTTTGTTTCCTAATATATTGACAGCTCCGATGTATATTTTAACAGGACTCAAATGTTATTTTGTTATTGAAGATGAAAATGATACTTTTTGTAGCGCTGTGCGTCTCAAGCGAGGACGGGAGCATTGACGGAGAAACAAATGTCAGCCTTCGGTCTTTGTGTACAATACAAATACACGTGTGATGCCAAAATACATTTACACCTTTCATACATCCTTCTCACATCAGATGAAAAAATCGAATAAAATAATTGACAGATGATAAAATAAACATGACAAAAAATTATGACTACAGCCATGTTACTGATTAAGTGCATTTGATTTTTTTCGAAAATAGATGATCAATGTAAAAGGTGCATTGAATATACATTGTCGACATTTTATACATTGTATTGATGACTGCTTTTTGAACATATGAGGCAAATATGAGCTCATAAATGGGGTCAAATCACGAGACTGAACATTGTGCAATGTTTTAGGAGAGTCTTTAACGTCATCGGGTGCACAACACAAATAACCGGGATTACAAGAAACGACTTCAGCGGAACCCCCGAGGTCGAAACCCTTCCAATCTCCGATTTGTTTGCATTTCGAGACACTTTTCCGAGAGGAATAATGAAAAAAAAAGATCTGTTCCATTAAAACAAAACAAAAGAAATTATCAGAACATTAGCAACTGCCTTGCAAGTGTAAAAAGACAATTATTTACAAACAAATTTGAAATTAAATGTTGCATAAGCAACCCTCCACCCCCACCCCAAAATCCCTGTGTGGTATCTGTCTGAGTGTTTGAAAAGGATGGAAAGAGATTTACATGATACCTTTTTGTTTTGCAATGGTTGTTGAAGTTAGGGAAGGAATTCACTTTAAATGGAAGCATCGTCCTTTCAGCATGCAGCTTTTGCACATTTGCCGTTCAAAGGCTGCTTCGGTCCACCGGAATGCCGACAATAAGAACAAACACGTCCATGAGAAGTGCACATACTGTAGTTGCTTTAGCGTCATGTAGCGTCTTGAAACAAGAAAAGGAAAATATGAGATAACAAAGAAAAGCACCATTCAAGAAGCAATAATTAAGGAATGATTTTAAAAAAACAACATTGTCATAAAATTTGTGTTAAAAAAATGTGATCAGTGACCCCGGTTACAATTGTATTTTCCTCATTGACCTCTTGTGTTGATGTTTTTGTTTTTTGTTTTTTGATGGTAAATGTTTAGTTGATTGTTTCTCGTCATGCTGCTTGGAGGAAATGTAACATTTTGTCCATTTTGTTTGCATTGAACAGTCTTAATGGCCCGACCCGACAGTTTAGTGGGGAAAGGCGCAGGACAAGATGAAAGTTTGATCATGTTTACTTTTTTTCCCCATTGGAGATACATTGGTTTCAGTTTCTTCTAAATATAGTCTCAATTCAAATATCACAGAAAATGTTCACTGGTTCACGATTTAATTTTTAAAAGAAAAACTTATGTGGACCAATTACTACAGAGTGAAATATCCTTTTTTTTTCCATCTCAAGATATTAAATTTCCATTATCTGAACTGTTTATCCTGATGAGCACCGAGGGAAATGTTATTTATTTTCCATTAAAAAAAAAAAAATTTAACAAGGTAGACATTTTGAAGTTGATGAATTTTGAGTTGATTAATTTCACTTTTTGAATTGAACAACTGATATTTTTTTCTCTGTATTACAATTTATGGAGATGCACCTTCGACCACATTTTATTTTATTTCACTTTTTGCTGGACAATGGACGATGTCGTGGAAACACTTTCAAAGTAAATGTGAAGGCGCCTCCAGGCTTTGAGTTGCGTCCCCAATGGAATTCAGCAGACACAGATTTTTTTTTTCTTCCTAAAAGTTGTCACTGGCTCAGACATTCATTTGGTTTACATCATGTGAAATAGGTACATGTGAGCCGTACGTGTGACTCCCTCCTCCAGATGCTGCACGTTCAGAAAAAGCTGGTGAGCCGCATGTACGTCGTCTGTTTTCTCATGAGGGTGAAACATGTTCTACACAAGTTGTATATATTGCAACGTCCGTGTGCCAAATCCAGTTGTCGACCCGTTCTGAAGTCATGTTTTTACCTTAGCTAACCTTATGTACAAGTCAGTAGAAATCTTGTTTCTCTCCTTTGTAAACTGGTGCCATGAAATGGAAATATTCTGACTTGAAATAAAACATGGATTTTAAAACATATTGCTATGGCTTGTCGATTCACTCTGACCTCTCTCTCCTCCTTTAATTTACGTATTTATTTTTAAGATTAAAGGGGGGTACTATGAAACGAATAAATTCCGATAACCTTTTTCAAGAATGTAGTCCTATTTTTTTTTTTGAATGAAGGCATAATTTCCAAAATCAGACGTCATTTGAGAATAAAGCAATTGTGAAATTTTCTTTTTTAAATGTGACTGTTACCTTGTTAAATTTTGACTATCTTGGAAAAGTAAAACTGTAGTAAAAATTACATTTTTTTTAAGGAAAATACTTTATTCATGATACCGTTTTCAGTTTTTCTCTGAAAATATTTTAAATGACTTTCATCACACAAAAAAATTACTTTTTAACTTACACTGAGGTGTAATATTTTTTCAAGTTTCCAAACCTACATTAACTAATCAATGTCATGACTGTAGCTCCAATTTGCATTAAGAACAATCAATTAGAATTCTTACTAGACTATATACTATTTAACAAGTTGAATCTTTTTTGACCGGAATGTTGATTTTTCATCAGGGCTCATTCAAGGTCGCAAAGAAGTCGCGGAAACGTTCGCCAAACGTGCACCGACTGTTTCTGTTCTTAAAAGCGACCTTGAACGAAACATCGACATTCTGGCTGTAAGCAAAGACTCGCCAAAACCTCGACGCTCAGTGAGACACGGGCTTTAGTCTGTATAGTTGAAATGATTTCTTCATGACACAACTTTAACTCAAGAAAAACGTTATTTTTTTTACATTTAAACTACCTGTACATGAATAAAGCTGTGCTCGGTTTTTTCATGATCTTTAATATATATTTACAGGAGCAATAAGGATCAGTAAGAAAAAATAGAATTCCAACAATGTACACTTTGAACATCATATATTACAAACGGTGTAGTGTAAATGCAACGGCGCACTATATGTGAGAAAAGGACGGCTTGAGAAAAGGTCGCTGGTTCTGCGGCGTGGGCATCGCCATGAAACCCGGCGTCCTTCCTGACGACGAGTCACCTGTCGCACCTCTGGACCCTCGGCCGGCAGATTGAGAACCACCTCTGGCTCCCCCTCTGGAAGCCCAGGGTTTATTGCTGCCTCGGCTGATGGAGAAACATCAACAATTTGAGGCAAATGAAGTTGATTTGGAACCGATGAGAAGTTACACAACGCACCCTCGAGAGTTGGAACCCGCGCCTCCGTAGCCTTTTCTCTTTTTGTTGTATTTGAAGAAAGGCATTTTCTTCCTCTTCTGCCCATGCGCGCTCTGGCTTCGGAAGTAAGCAGAGGAGTCGTCGCCGTCACTGTCCTCGTCGTCGACACCCGAGCGGCCTCGAGTTGTGTCGATCCAGCCGTCTTCACCACCACCCTCGGCCTGTTGCTCCACTGGGAATGACACGCGTAAAATTGTTGGTTCCCCAAACTTTATTGGGCTGAGGCACAGAAGAAAAGCTCACGCCCAAAAAATAAATCAAAGTGTCATAAAGAGGTACACAGTGTTCTCCCACTATATTACAGAATTTTTTGGGTGGAATCTTATGTTGCCCACAGCTCGCGTCCAGACACTCACATGTCACATGCCAAGCCGCCAAGGTACTACAGCTGAACAATTTTGAAAAAGAATCTTCAATATTGCGATTTAATTCGCAATTTTTTTTCCCACGGTCGTCTTCCCATGTATTTTTTTAAACAAACAACAATAAATTAATCTCCATTACAACAAACGAATCATAGATTTATTTGACATAAATGTTTTGAACTTATTAGGTAAGATCAACTCATCTCGTGTAAGAATATCTCATTGTTCTGTTTGTTACTGGCGTAGATATTTTAGATTTCAGGAACAATGAAGTGAAATTGTCCAATTTCCCAACAGACCAGGCAGGAATGACGAGCAGCAAAGCCACATTGCGGAGAACAAGCGCCGGGAAGCGTGGAGTCTTTTACCTGGATTCTCCCACTGGGAATATTTCTGAAGGACCTGGATCACCTCCCCGCCGTACTTCTCCAATTTGTCCTCGGTCACACCGTCGATTTGCAGCAGGATTTCTGGGTTGGAGGACAGCCTCTCTGCAGATGATGTTCAGGAAATTACAGGTGGTAAATACTTGACTATTTCATAGGAAATTAAAAAAAAAAGTTAATATCGGGGGATATATATTCATATGGCTTCAGGATTATTGAATTGAAAAAAAAAATGCACCTGAAGTTGAAGTGCACGCAGTATGTGTCGAAGACTGTCGTAACTTCCACGAACAACGCAGGCTGAACAACATTAGGACCTTCTCAAAATTCTAAGTTTGTCTCTCCACTGGGTACGGGCTGTTAATAGATTCTGACGGTGTGCTAACCGTGAGCAACATTTTTTAAAATTAAAAATCAGAGCTCTGGTAAATAAAACTGCATTTTCCACAATTTGTTTTTTTCCTAACAAATGATAGAATAGTTGATGCATTATAACATTATCATATCATGTTAAAAATAAATATTAATAATCTTCTTCTGTATGACATCTTTTTAGGAAGTCACAGTGTGCCATCATTGGTTTGCTACTTTTAAAAAAAGCACCACAGGCTACTCATGTCATTCTTGGGGCTAACCAGGACCTGCTGGCACCATGTTTTTTTTTGTTTTTTTTTAAAGGACAATGCACATTAATCGACAGCAAAAAAGCATTACTCTCTAATTTTCCTCTCTCCCTCCTGCGCGCGTAACTGCTCACTCTTCCGCTCTCCAGTATGCTCAGCCAAGGAGGAGGGGGAAAAAAGCCGCTCGCCTCTCAGCATTAACTTGAAAAAGGTGGCTCAATCTCTAAGGGTGAGTTGCAGATGGCTGCTTTTGAATCCATTTTATCTCCTGGTGGGGTATAATTACTAATATCATAATTATGTTCAAATAATGTCAGTTTTTCCCAATGAAATCCAAAACCCCTAACGTGACAGCATTTTAATATTACCAGATAACTTTTTCAAAGTGGCGGTGGAGAAGATGTTGTAATAGTGAATCCCGAAGGTTTTCCCCAGTTGTTTGCAGAGCTCCACCAGCTCCTTGAGGCACTCCTGCACCTTTTGGTCCCTCTGAGAGACATTCTTGGCCACCGCTTTGTTCTTCCTGAAGCTGGAAGCGCTTTCCGTGTCGTAGAAGTTTACCTGTAATGAGACCGCGGCGTCAGGTTTTGTCTTTGCGCGTAATACGGCACGTTTGTCGGATCCCGCCGAGCAGGACACGTGACCTGCATGTGTCCGGAAAGGAGGTTGAGAGCTTTTGGTCCTGCGGAGATATAAGACACAGCTTGGCCGCCGTTGGTGATGTAAAGGTCCTCCATTAGGATGTTGTCCAGGACCAGTTTCTTGAACAGGCGGTCTGCATTGTGCCTGGAATAAGATCCTCCCATCCCAAACATGCCTGTCTGGAGCTTGGCAGCTTTGGAACCTGAGAGACAATTTTTTTCCCCCGCCTCGGGCATTATTATCTAGTGCAACAATATGCACCAGGCAGACATGTTGGCGAGGTAGTAGTACGTCGTACCGACAAAGATGTCCACCAGCATATTGAGTGTCAGGCGGCTCTGTTTCGCGGTCCGGCCGAACTTGGCGCCAACCTTCTCACAGTTCTCCTGCACGAAGCTCACAATGTTCTTCACCTCGTCAGTGACATTCCTCATTTTGTATTCCTGTGTATATTTAATACAGACAAGCAAACGCCAAGCGGTTATGCAACACAGATTTTATAACATTTAAAAAGAAATGATCGATAGCCTGTTTTTGTTGTTTTTTTCTTGGCCGATACTGATTATTAGTGGTCAATGGGGCTGATAACCGATATTTGGAGCAGATCGTTTTCAGGGGAAGGGTAAACGTTGGCGTCAAAACTTTTTAA